CAGGTGGAGGAGGTGGAGTAGATGTTCGGCACAATGTTGACAGATGACCCGCATGTTTGCTTGTATTAATTCAAGTAATATACACATATTTGTCTTGAAAAAATTTAGAACCACCCATTTTGTCATCATTTTCATGCATTTACCGCACAGCAACAAGTGTATATCTTCAAACTTCGAATTCATTTACTCATATATACAAGGAGATGAAAAACAGTTAAGTAAAATTATCGCCATTCGTCATATGCTAATCTTTTAGTATTCCAAAAATTGCCATACAATCATTTTTGTTCTCATTTGTCATTCAACGCAGGTGCAATATCATTCAGTCAAAACGCCGAAGTAACGTATACGCGCTATATTCCCTCTTCAACTGATATTCTACGACATTGAACTAAAAAAATGACTAACAGCACAATTCTCGTTTCAGTTGCCAGCGGTGTTCTCATCTTTTCAGTTGTTTTCAAATTTATCGCGATGATTATTGGAGTATTGGGAAATGTCACAGTTATAATATACACAATTTTGTTGTGTAAAGAAAAGACAGCGACATCTTACTTGATAGCAAACTTGGCATTAGCGGATCTTCTCGTTTGTTTAACATTTTATCCACTATGGATCATCGAGTTTATTCAGACTATATTAAACATTGAGAGTGATCAGGACTTGTTTTGTAAGTTAAGTCGTTCTACGATCTGGTGTTTGCAGTTGGCGTCAGTGGCTACAATTCTGGCAATTACTGTTGATCGTTATTTATATTTCGGGAAACCTCTGAAATATCCTCTAATTGTGACACGTCGACGAGTGTTTCTGGCTATTTCTGGAATCTGGTTAACTGCTTGCTGTATTTACGCTATATTTTTTGTTCACTTTCGGAGTTCTGACGATAGAATGAGAAGTCGCTGTCGCCCTCTTTACAGCATCTATTATCCGATCGTAGCTCTTCTTTTCTGTTTACCCCTCATTTTAATTGTTTTTTTGAATTTCCGAATTTTAAGTGTTTCTCGAAAACAACGCAAACGAATCTTTCATCAATCCATGGTTGCAGGCATCAGCAACCACCACGAACATTCAGGCAGTATGAGAGTTATTCTTCGTCTATTTCAGGCGTTTGCAGAAGCGAAAACATTTTCTATTGTTATTACAGTGTTGGTGATCTGTTGCTTTTTACCAACAGTTATCGGGAAGGTGTTATACTATTTTTGTAGTGATTCCTGCCGGCAGATTTGGTATCTGTTTGTGAACTACGAGCTTTATGGCATAAACTCGATCGTGAATGCTTTCATATACGGAATGAGGCATATCAAATACAGAAAAGCTTATCGACATATTCTTTTAAAAATTATAGACTTTGATAATTTTTGTTGTTGCTAATTTTACTGCATGTATTAGGAAATTTTATTGGATTCTGTGTTCAAATTTCTAACGGCTAAATGCTCGTTACCAGATCTATAATTGCATTAGGCCAACATTGGGAAATTACAAACCATTTGCTTTGAAGATCAGACCTGAATATATGTATAGTTTATAGGTTAATAATTCGTTCATTATTCTCGTTCCTCTAATACTTGATGCGTTATTAAAAAATTAGTAGCTCTAGCAATTACCGTTATTTGTGGTTTATCCAACGCGTTGATATACATGTCGCGCAATGCACATGGAAGACCCTAGGGACGAGATTGTAATAATGATTGTAGTTGTCAGTTCCAATGCTATGGATATAGTATATGGAAACAGTATGGGTATATCATATTTCCATATAGTATGGATTTTTAGAAATAAATTCCAGTGTTCCCGTATAGTTTTATTGCCTTTTACGCATTTCTTACGCAATTCGTTTGGGCGTCTCTGCAGTGCAAATGCTTATGTAAATATACACGGGAGCAGAATGCATCATGTCTCTTACGTCTAAACGGCGATCCTCGTGCCGTGCTATATAATTATTATGCAAAAAAATCTTCAGTCGATTTGAATCCGTTAAGACGAATAAAATTAGTTGAACTCGATCATCTGCATGCAATTCAGAAAAGCAAAGCTGACAATAATCCATCGCCCCGTTTGTGTTTACGGTTAACCCTTCCATTTGAAGCAGATGTTAATCACAATATTACATAAATTACATAATTACAGTTTAAATTGAAAAGTAATAGGATGAAACTAAACCATTAAAACCTTTCATTTAGAAAAGGTAGATCAGTTATTGGACATTTTAGCCATTCGGAAAAGCAAAAAGGCAAGAAATAACCGAATATTCTTTCTGCCCTTTGTGTAAGTTATACTGTTTTATTGTTTTACAAGAAACGCCTTAAGTGAACAAGCTGTAGCTCATTATGCAATCATTCAAACTATTAGATCAGAAAAACATCGCTATGATCATTTGTTTGTATACTTTGATAAAAATATTTAAGGTTTAGAGATGCTTTCCACTTGTGCGTTTCATGGCCAGAAATCGAGGACATTAGGTTCGGTTCAGCGGTAAGACAATGCTGGCTCAATTAAAATTTAAAATAGCTGTTTATTTTTATCATACATATACAGCATTCAAAAAGAACTGCTCAAAACAAGTTAAAATGCTCTCAAATGAACGTAACTGTCCCTCTAACAATATATACGAGTAAATATAGACTAGATTACATGCTAAGCTATATGAAATATTATTTTGTTGACCCTCCTTTGGCCTTATAATTGATGACGGCCTTACAACGGCGTGGCATACTTTTTGTTAAGGTGGTAAGGAGTGTTCTTGGTTATTTCTGGGGTTTGGATAACTGCTTGTTGTGTCTGCGTTATAATTACATTTTATTCCGGGTGGCGCAAAAAAATGTTCCCCCTCTTAGACTTATCGTAATTGAAAAACTAATACAGATATCTTATTCAAATAAAGTTTGTTGAATGCAGTAATGCATGTCTAACTTAAATTTTGATATATGTCTTGAACATTTCTGTACAATATTGGTGGAAATCGAGCCGTTTAAAATAAAGGTGCAGTTTTTGACGAAGCGAATAACATGACTAAATATCGCGATTCGACTTATTTTCAACTTCCACGATAGGCGTTTTTTAAAGCGTTTTTTTTCATGTATGTCGTCTTCGCATGTTTAAAGATTCTTAGATTAAGGTATTCGAAGTATCTTTTAAGTGTATTTGATGTTAAAATAATACTGTTCATCGTTCGAACAAATTGGGTCCCTAAGGAGTTGCAATGCACAAGGGAACGAAAGCAAAGGAGCTTGCCCGCTTTGTTATAAACATGCCTCGTTTAACGATACAGCAACGAGCTTGGATTTTTTTAGAATATGCGAGGACTAATAATGCAAGAGAAGTTTAATTTACGTCGATGGCAAAATCATTGGAATAATATTCCATCTCCGAGCATAAAAACAGTGAGGATTTGCCAGACGAAGCTAATCAATATTTGTTCTTACTCTTGCGTGCTGTTTTCATTCTATTTTAGAACATTTTTTGCTTCTCCCAGAAACGCTACTTTCAGTTTAAACGCCTATATCTTGGCTAATATTGAATAAAAATTTACAAGGTTTACATTAAAATTTAAGTTAAACGCCACTCCACTCAATAGACTTTACTTGAAAATGATCTCTTTTTCAGTTTTTAAATTAAATTAAGTCAAAGAGGAGGAACGTTTTTTTGCGCCACCCGGTATACACCATTGGAGCCTTGACAATAAAGTCAGAGTTCTTTACGACACAACTGACAGCATTACTTACTTTGCACAAGTTATTTACCCTATTCTTCTTACTTTAATTTGTCTTCTGAATTTTCGAATTTAAAAGTGTCTCGAAAACAACAATAGTTTTTCGTAAAAAAAGCTGAAGAAACCCGGGGGTGGATGAACGGATGAACGGACTGATGGAAGGAAGATTGGACAGGCGGACGGACGAAGGACTGACACATAATTTATATAGACCATTTTTAAGTTTTTATAGAACACTTCTTGTTAAATTAAGTACACGATTCCTTGCATGTGTCTCTAAAAGAATAATTACTTATATATCTAAGCAGGCAAGTTATGAAGGCGGTGGAGTCGCTGATCCTAACAAAACGTTTGCAAGCAAATATTTCTCTTATTTTGGAGGGCGTCGAAAATTTGGTTATTTCGAGGGGTGAACGGGGAAAAGGAGATAAAAATTGCTTTTAAAGCTCGTTCGGTTCTCCTAAATTTTGTTATTTAAGTAAAAGATACTTATCGATGACGGGAAACTTTACAAGTGCGTGTAAATATTGAAAGCAGAATGCATGATTACAGGTTACATTGAAAATTAGTAACATGAAACGACTAAACGAGTACACATTACATTTGTAATCTAAACGCACTATTCAAGAATTAACTGCCTCTTCTTAGTTTTTTTACTGGGTATATGCAATCAATCTATCGATTCAGACTATTAGACCAGGAAAACAGCTATGGGCATGCAGTTAATTATTTAATTAATATAATATGTGTGTTTAGGGCCTGTTTACATGGAGCAAGTTATCTCGGATAAAGCACGATAAAACTGCATATAATGAAGACAATGAAAGACGAATCAGGTTAAGCCTTTGATGTGATGCGGTTTTTACCTCGTCTGGCCGGGATAACTCGCTCCATGTAAACAGGGCCTTAGTAATCCCCTTAGCTAGGTACTTTTGGCTGTTCTTCATATGCTAATCTCTTATAGTCTTATAGTGTATATATTCAGTCAAAACGTCGAGGTAACATATACGTGCTATACTCCCTTGTTCACTGATATTCAACGACAACCAAACATGACTAACAGCACTGTTATTTTCAGGGAGTTATTTTAACACCCCCAAATTTCATTTTTCGGGGTGTTAAATTTTGGTGCTATTTTGACACCACTTTTAGAGTTGTATTAACTCCTCGGAGGAGTAACGAGGTCTTCGAACGTTGATTAGTATGCAAAAATAATCCCATCTAGAGGGGTTAGAGGAATTAACTCCATTTTTGGAGTTAAATTCTTCTCATTATATATTCATAATGGAGATTTGAAAACAAGGAGTGAAGATTGGTGATGCACATCGCGTTAATGATAATTTTTATTGAAATTGAACAAAATCTTGTATTGAAATCATTTACTACATCAGAATACGTGATGAAAAGATTGCCTCGGATAGTTCTGGTAAGTTTATAACGATAAATGTCATAGAATCAATCATTAAATAGCGAAATACATGGTCGATCGGCTGGAGTAAAGCATTGACAACCGATCGTTATACATCGTATAGCGCATTATTATATAAGGTATTCAGCGCATTAAAAATATCATAACCCACGGTCTTGTAGTTCTAGCCTGGAAGGCCTTAATTGAAGTTTTTTCGAAATCAAATTTTCAAACAAACTATATAAAAAAGCTCATTTGTTATATTTATGGAAATGCGAATTCCCCAGGCTTAAATTTTTGGTACTTTAAAACATGATTTATTCATGAATTATTCAATAAAACTATTTTTAACCTCTGTATGTGCAAGAAATCCAAGCATGCTTGTTTATTTCAGTTTATAATAAATCAAATAATAAAAATTTTCCTGTTTTTTGTTAATTATTTTGCAATGAATCTTCTTTATTTTTATATTCAGGATCACCTTAAAATAACCAGGTAATATGGGACATTGTAATATCCATTCCTGGTTCTTTTTAATAATTGTCTGAAAGGTGGTCAATATTTGAGTGTAATGCTCAAATGCACATTAGCTATTTACACAACCAAGAAGTGCTATAAACATTTGATTGCTGCATTTTTGAATAACATATATATTTGAGAGTTAAGTGGCATTTAAAAGCTTGGTGATTTGCAGTCTTCCATATCAAATGTGGTCTTTATGCTACAAAATTTTAAGTAATACATCTCTCAAAACTGACCCTTAAACATGTTATATATGATTATGAAGCTATATATTCATAAGGCTATAAATACAATTTTTTGAAAAAACTATTTTGTGTTAATATTATTTGTCAAAGAACCATGCATTGAACAGTGCAGATCATGTGAATCAAGCATTAAACTGTGCAGATAATTTAGAGCTATAATTATACACAATATGTATTGCAAGGCAGGTTTTAATCAGAAATCAATTTTAAAAAATTTGACCTTTTGAATTAATATTCTTGAGGGCTCATGAAAGTTAAATTTTCATGTATGAAAAATAATTAATTTATATGTCTTTTCCATTGTCCCACTTGGAGACCTCAATAACATTTATACAAAATTACCAACAACATCAAATCATAGATTAATTAAACTGAAGAATTATAATAACTTGTAGGTACACCACGTAAGTATTAAATACTGCAAAGCTTTCGGTCCGTTAACCCGGACCTTCATCAGTGCAATAATTATTATTATTATATTATTATTCTTCATTAGTGTTACCCGGACCTTCATATTGCACTGATGAAGGTCCGGGTTAACGGACCGAAAGCTTTGCAGTATTTAATACTTACGTGGTGTACCTACAAGTTATTATAATTACTAAAGTCGCCATGCAATCATACAAGAAAATTATTAAACTGAAGAAATAAGTGTTTGTTAGGTACCACAGAATATGTTCATAAATTAATAAAGCAAAAAACATTACTGATAGTATCCTAACATTAACTTTCATTTTAAATTTTGACAGTTGATTTTAAAATCAAGACAAACTGAGTCAACTAATCAAGAAAAAGAAAACCTCATGATGTGGGTTGAATTGCCAGGGACACCTATGCTAAGACTTCAGGTCTTTATACAGCTCAGTGGCCGGGTCTTTCTTGGCGAAATATTTGCAAAGTACACACGAAGCCCTCGCTCGCTCCGTAAAAAGTTCTCTTTCTCGGTACTTTTCATTCGAAAATTGTAAACTTAGTAGAGGACTTGCGATTTTGGATGCGAAAAGCTGGATTTGGCGACTACTGCGAGCTATTTTAAGGTAAATATTTGAAGTTTTTCTTGCATTTAGTCTTCCCGCCTTTTTATTGTGTTAACTTGGCCTGCAAAAACAGACAAATTTATTGCAAGATTCTTATAGTTTGATTCTAAAATGTTTTTCAAATAGTTGTTTCTATAATTTTTGATGCTGGTCGATTTATTTTTTCTGTGGGGCTGTTGCCAAAAGAGTTTTTCAGTCGCAAAACTGACGGCGAAGTATTTTTTTGTTTCTGATCAGCATGAATACATGATATCGCGAGCCTCCGATATTTACCTTAAAGTTCCTGGGATATTTTAATAGTCTATAACAATTCGAATTCGTATCTTTAGAAGCAGTAGAAGGACAGAAGTCCACAATGCCCGGTAGAGGGTAGAAGAAGCAATGCCAATGGGAAACTCAAACACAAATTTCAATACAAGAAAGCCCTAACTTAGCGAAACGATGTTGAAAACAACCCCAAAATAACTGTTCAATTCTCAATGGACGAAGCAACTTACCATGATGCAGTAAATCTAGGTATGTGGAATTTTTTTCCTATTCTTTTTATATTAGCTAAGCCTAAGTTACTTGAAATTATTCCTTCCTTATACTCACATGTTTCTGCTTATTTGTTTGAGTATGTTTGCATTGTGGATCACATAGAACATATAGATTTTGAAGGTCTGTTGAACAATGTGCTCTGTTATATGCATACAAAGCACACTACTCGAATTTACACTCATATACATGCAATTTTTCTATTTGTTCGTAGATTGAAGACTCGTTTCGTGCAATTGGCACAACAGGAAATCTCCGAAAATTTTACTACGAGGAAAATTGTAAAAGAAGAAACGTGGATCAGTATTGCTTATACAGCCAGGTCATCATCTTGGTAGAGTGAGTCTTAGCTTAGTAGAACTCTAGTAGAACTGAACAACCAGTGTCTTAATGACTATACCATTATGTTTTAGGCATGCATGGTACTCCACTTAAAAACATTTTCTAAATTTTTTGCAAATTTGCATGTGTGTTAAAGTGTAAATAAAAAGTATTAAAGAGCTATACTATAGAAGCAATTCCTTTAATGCGTAGTTGACTTGCTGTACTCAAACAGAAATGTAATTGATCTCATGTATTCAATATTATAATAATATAATAACGATATTTGTGCTGCATTGTTTGTTGACTCGATCGGTATTATAGGTAGAAATCTTCGATGGAACGGAATATTTCGCTCAATTTATTTATCTTTTCATTTGTGAAATTAAACCGAAGCAGATTTACTTGATAGATCACAATTGAAAAGAAAATCAAGCGAAAAATTTGCTTCGATCGAAATAATTTACCTATATAGTAGAAAACCGGCCTAACACCTAAAACGGTGTTAAATGTGTTTAACTCCAAAAATGGAGTTATGTTTTAAGTCCAGAATTGGAGTTAAATTAACCCCAAAAGCGGTGTTAAATTATAACACCAGAAGTGGAGTTATTTGTTACTCCAAAAAGCTACTCATTTTGAACCTTTTTTTTTCACCCCTTTTTTGGTGTTAAAATAACTCCCTAAAAATAACAGTGAGATCACATCTCGTTCAAGTTGCCAGCAGTGTTCTCATCTGTTCAGTTGTTTTCAAATTTATCGCGATGATTATTGGAGTATTGGGAAATGTTACAGTTATAATATACACAATTTTGTTGTGCAAAGAAAAGACAGCGACATCTTACTCGATAGCAAACTTGGCATTGGCGGATCTTCTCGTGTGTTTAACACTTTATCCACTATGGATCATCGAATTTATTCCGACTATATTAAACATTGAGAGTGATCAGGACTTTTTTTGTAAGTTAAGTCGTTCTGCCAGCAGGTCTTTTTTGATTGCTTCAGTGGCAACAATTCTCGCAATCACTGTTGATCGTTATTTATATATCGTGAAACCTCTGAAATATCCTCTGATTGTGACACGTCGACGAGTGTTCCTGGCTATTTCTGGAATCTGGTTAACTGCTTGCTGCGTTTACGCTGTATTTTTTGTTCATTATCGGAGTTCTCCCGATGGAATGAGAAGTCACTCTCTCTCTCCTTACAGGATATATTATCCTATCGTAGCTCCTCTATTCTATTTACCTCTCATCTTAATATTTTTTTTGAATTTTCGAATTTTAAGTGTATCTCGAAAACAACGCATACGAATTTTTGATCAATCAACAGTCGCAGGCGTGAGCAACCACAACGAACATTCAGGCAGTACGAGAGTTGTACTTCGTCTATTTCAGGCGTTTGCAGAAATGAAAACATTTTTTATTGTTATTACAGTGTTGGGGATCTGTTGCTTTTTACCAGCAGTTATCGGGAACGTGCATTTTATACTACTCTTGTAGTGATTCGTGCCAACAGGTTTGGTTCGTGGCTGTTCACTAAGAGTTTTATGGCATAAACTCGATCGTGAATGCTTTCATTTACGGAATGAGGCATATCAAATACAGAAAAGCTTATGGACATATTCTTTTTAAAATTCTAGACTTTAAGTTGTGTTGTTGCTAATACTAGTGCATGTATTAGGAAATTTTGCTTGGATTTTGTGTTCAAATTACGTTACCTGGGGCCGGTTGTATGAAAGCCGGATAGCGCTATCCACCGGATAGTGGTTTTTTCAATTGCTTCAAAATCGCCCGGTATTTGCTACAACTTTGATTAAATCTTAGTATTCCTAAATTGAAGATCCTCTTTAATAATTGTTGCTTTCAAGCTGAAATTTTATCCCCTTTCGAGCATTTTTAGAACGGTTGAAAAAATCACTATTCGGTGGATAGCGCTATCCGGCTTTGATACAACCGGCCCCAGATCTATAATTGCTTTAGGCCAACATTGGGAAATTACCAACCAATTGCTTTGTAGACCAGACCTTAATATATAATTTAAAAGTTAACAATTCTTTTATTATGGTCGTTCGATGCTCTATACTTGATGCGCTATTCAAAAATAGCAATTACTGTCATTTGTTTATCCAACGCGTTGATATGCATGACGTGCAATGCACACAGAAGACCTTAGGGACAAAATTGTATACATTGTAGTTGTCAGTCTCATACTATGGATACAGAATGGAAACAGTATGGGTATAGCATATTTCCATATAGTATGGATTTAAAAAAATAAATTCCACTGTCCCAGTATAGTTTTATTGCTTTTTACGCATTTCTTATACAAAGTTGAAAATATCATAATGAGAAGAAGTTTGTTTGCTAATGCTTTCAAGACGCACTTAGTATGCGTCAAAGCAGAGTGCTCTTTCACGACAAGCTCTCCTCTTGACTTTCCGTCGTTTCGGCGTCTCTGCAGTGCAAATGCTTATGTAAATATACACGGAAGCAGAATGCATCATGTCTCTTAAGTCAAAACGCTAATCTTCGTGCCGTGCTATATAGTTATGCAAAAAAATCTCGAAATGAATAAAATTGGTGGAACTCATCTGCATTCAGAAAAGCAAAGCTGACAATAATCCATCGCCCCGTTTGTGTTTAGGGTTAACCCGGCCTCCATTTGAAGCAGGTGTTTAAAAACTCTCTTCCACTCACGGTACAAACCTCCTTCAAGCTCCCAGCGAATGTTCGCATTAACTAAGCGAGTTTGTTTTGTTGCAATGGCTAAAACGGAAGTTTTAGTAATGATGCATTCATTTGGGTAAATTGATCCTCTTGTTTCACCGTATTTTTTTGCAAAAAACCCGAGTTCGACCACATACAAAAGCTTTGGGCCAAGGTCAAACGTCGCTCTTCTCATGCGCCAAACCTAATGCAAATGAGCTGAAACAAAGACTTTAATCATTTGTATAGGTTCGGTGCATCATTTTAGGCCTTAGTGCGCTTTGCATTAGCGGCCAAAAATGGTCAGACTGGTCATATTTTAAATTGAAATAGAGTATTTCGTTAAGAATATAGCGATAAAACTATGTTTCCCGTGCTAGGCAGATGTAAATAACGATATACTTTTATGCAGAGTTCTTCAACACTCTAAAATAGCAGTAATCTGTCTGTACCGAAATACAAATGGATCGGTCTGGCCGTTTTCTCCGTATAAAGGAAAGTGCCCTTAGAATACTTTTTGTTCACAACTCGCTGTCCAGAAATAATACTGCGTGCAGAGTTTTATGGAATGGTTAGTAAATTAGTAAAGTTTTAGTAAAGTTTATAAATTATTATTATATAGCAAGCGTCACTTCCGGTGAAATGCCGCTCAGTGATTGGATTCAGCGGTCGATTACTTTCTCGTAATGGACCGGCGTTACCGGCGATCTATTACCGGATGAAAAACAGAGAAATTCTGAACGAAAAAGGCACAAATAAATGCTCAAGAGAAAATTTAATAATTGATTTTGAAATTAATAAGACGTCTCCAGACAGTTTAGGTAAACTAAATAATTCAATATTTTGTTTTTGTTTTTTTCAAATGTGTACCAGGCTACTAATACGAATTCATGCATTTCTTGTTTGTTTCAAATGCAAATACATGCCATGCTAATTTATTATGAAAGACGAATTAGCTTAAGCCTGTGATGTGATGCGCTTTTTACCTAGCCGGAATGTCTCGCTTAATGTAAACAGGCCCTTAGTAATTCCCTTAGCTAGGTATTTATAGCTGTGATTCATGTATGCTAACCTCTTATAGTCTTCCTGCGTCATTTGCCCTTCAAACACAGGTGTATATATTCAGTCAAAACCTCGAAGTAACGTATACGTGCTATACTCCCTTGTCCACTGATATTCAACGACAACCAAACATGACTAACAGCATGACTCTCGTCCCAGTTAGCAGTGTTCTTATGTTTTCCGTTGTTTTCAAATTTATCGCGTTGATTATTAGAGCAATGGGAAATGTCACAGTTATAACATAGACAATTTTGTTGTGTAAGGAAAAGACAGGGACATCTCACTTGATAGCAAACTTGGCATTAGCTGATCTTCTCGTGTATTTAACATTTTATCCACTATGGGTCATGGAGTTTATTCAGACTATATTAAACATTGAGAGTGATCAGGACTTGTTTTGTAAGTTAAATCGTTTTACGATCTGGTCTTTGCAGTTTGCTTCAGTGGCTACAATTCTCGCAATTACTGTTGACCGTTATTTATATATCGTGAAACCTCTGAAATATCCTCTGATTGTGACACGTCGACGAGTCTTCCTGGTTATTTTTGGAATCTGGCTAACTGCTGGTTGTGTTTACGCTATATTTTATGTTCACTTTTGGAGATCTGACGATAGAATGAGAAGTTACTGTCGCTTAATTCCCAGCATCTATTATCCTATCGTAGCTCCTCTATTCTGTTTACCGCTCATTTTAATATTTTTTCTGAATTTCCGAATTTTAAGTGTATCTCGAAAACAACGCAGACGAATCTTTGATGACTCCATGGTCGTAGGCATCAGCAACCACAACGAACATTCAGGCAGTATGAGAGTTGTACTTCGTCTATTTCAGGCGTTTGCAGAAGCCAAAACATTTTCTATTGTTATTATAGTGTTGGTGATCTGTTGCTTTTTACCGACAGTTATCGGAAAGGTGTTATACTACTTTTGTAGTGATTCCTGCCGGCAGTTTTGGTATCTTTTTGTGAACTATGAGCTTTATGGCATAAACTCGATCGTGAATGCTTTCATCTACGGAATGAGGCATATCAAATATAGAAAAGCTTAGGGAAAAATTCTTTTTCGAATTCTAGACTGTAATTATTCCTGTTGCTAGTGTTATTAAAATTTTCATGGATTTTGAATGTGTCATAATTCTCCGCAATATTGTTTCGGGTTCACCAGTGTTTCGTTGAATACTTTTAATTAAATTAAGGGGTTTTGTTCCGTCAATCGGAGTGTAACTGATGCATGTAACCGATTTCGCAGTTTAAAATAAATTATCTGTTTTAATTGTTTTGATGTCGTTCGTAAATCGGGGTAATTATTCCTTAATATCGTTAAAAAAACGGGAAAAGTTTCAATGCAGGCGCTGGGCCTCTGAAAGTAGCAATTTGCCTCAGCCAGGTCCAGGTCATAACGGGTTGCCCCGAAATACCTAAAATGGAGAGTAAACTGTGCCCATGAAGAACGTCCACCCTGAAATACTTTCGCAACCCCGTTGAAAGCGCTTTAATTCTCATTAATTCCAAGCATGTAAGCCTTTTCCCCAGGTCCCTTGCTGACGACCGAACTCAACTGCTGATGTATGATATTGAGTTGTGTTCGGGATCCTCATGGAC